ACTCCATCCAGCACCTGCGCTGTGGATGAAAGGACCATCCCACTGCTGCCACCAATGTAACGGCTACCCTGGTATGGTGAGGGTATCAGCCGTTGGGGACATCCTTTTCTTCCCGGCAAGTCGCTGTGTAGTGATGGAGTCGCCTATCCCCTTCTGCTGGATCAGGAGTAGAAGTCAAGTGCAGCTCTAAAAAGAGCTGAGTGATTATGCTGCATAGATTCCCCTTTCAAGAACGAGACGAGGCTATGTTTTGAAGGGTCAAGAAGAACTGAGGGTTTATTGACAGACACTCTCTTTTATGAGATTCTGCCCATGCAAGGGAGACACCCACATAATTAACAGTATAACCAATCAAGACAATATACATTCTGTACATCCCCTCCCCTTAGATAACTAAATAACATAATTAAAAAGGAACATATTTTCCCCAAAGTTTGGATGTACCCCAAATACTTGGGGTACAGGCATGAATTCGGTATCCCCAGATAGCTTGTTTCTGGGGGACAAACATATTTAAAAATCAGCCCATTCGGTTCAGCCGTTCGGGAGATATGGGACTTAGAAGTTTTGACCGACCGCACGGGCACAGTAGCCGAAAACAGTTCCATGAATGCTGGCCCTGCAGTCGGTCTTATATCGTGTGTAAAAACTCCCGAACGGCCGGCCATCCACATGCCATCCTGGATTCGCTGAAATCCTCATCCGTTGCTGAGTCTTTCTACCGAATGCCTGGTCGTTCGGTAGTTTTGGCGAGGTTTTCCCGAAGGTATGGAGGTCTCAGCGGTGTTCGCCTATTTGAGTGTCCGATTTTAGTTCCAGACACTTGACGGCAAACACCGCTATTCGGGAGTTAAAATGGCCGCAAACACGTGGAAGTCCCGAAATGGCGGCTGGGCTTACAGCTCTCATAGCGTTTGTGCGGTTTTTCAACGAAAATGCCCATCAAGCAGGGAGGTAAATTAGTCTCAATTTAGAGTCAGGGTGGCCTGTTAGAGGTTAGCAAGCATTCACATGGAGAATGCTTGCAAAGTCCCGAACTGCATTGTAATCCATAAGTCTTTTCCAGGCAAACTGTTCTTTTTGTTACAGTTGCCTTCGGTAATAAGGGACACACGACTACACCGGGGTGGTCCCTCATTCGGTATTTTACACATTTTCGTGGATAATGCAATGGATGTAGTTCGTGAACCGATTGTCTGAAGATAACCGTCCTAATAGCAATACGGCCATTTTAATCCAAGTTAATTCGAATCTCGAAAGTCTTTTCTCAGTCTCTTGGTGGCTAGGTTTGCCACAATGCTCCCCCAGAACCAAGCCGGCATACACAGTCTGATCCCAACGGATCGGCTTGGGGATGTCCGGAGGAGTGCTCACAGATCATTTCTTCAATTCTGTCTGTCGTGACAACCCGTCTGCGTTCCGTTTTGCTTCCCAGGGCGGTATTGAATGGTGAAATCAAAGGGTTGTAGCGCCAAGCTCCAGCGCAGCAGCCAAGCGTTTTCCCCTGACACCCTGTTTAGCCCCTGACATTGATCTGTGAGCAATGTGAATTGTTGTCCATATAAATAGGGCTGCAGCTTCTTGAGGGCCCACACCACGGCCAGGCATTCCTTCTCGATGGCGGCATAGCTTACTTCCCTGGGCAAAAGTTTTTGGCTTAAGTAAGCGACCAGGTGCTCGCCACCATCGGCCCCAACCTGGCTCAGCACTGCTCCCAATCCAAACATAGAAGCGTCTGTATGGACAAGAAAGCGTTTAGTTGGATCAGGAGCAGCAAGTACAGGTGCATGTATAAGCGCAGTTTTCAGTTCTTGGAATGCCTGTTCACACTCTGGGCTCCAGGTAACTATCTTGGGAAGGTTTTTCTGGGTAAGGTCGGTTAGGGGCTTGGCGATGGCACTATAATTGGGCACGAATTTCCGGTAATAACCGGCGGTACCCAGAAATGCTAGGACTTGGGTCTTAGTGCGGGGGGTTGGCCACTTTGCTACAGCCTCTATCTTGGCCGGTTCAGGTTTTTGTTGCCCGCTCCCTACCCTGTGCCCTAGGTATTGTACTTCGGCCATCCCTACGTGGCACTTGCTAGGCTTCAGAGTAAACCTTGCCTCCCTAATGCGGTCAAGTATGGCTCCTATATGGGTCAAGTGCTCGTCCCAGGAGTTGCTAAAGATGGCTATGTCGTCTAAGTATGCGCAAGCATACTCCTGTGACCCATCCAGTAGCCGATCCACCATACTCTGAAAAGTAGCCGGGGCGTTCTTCATCCCGAATGGTATATCCCTAAATTGGTATAGTCCAAACGGGGTGACGAATGCGGACTTCGGGATGGCGTCCTCAGCCAGTGGTATCTGCCAGTACTCCTTGCATAACTCTATTGTGGTGAGGTACTGGCCCCTGGCCATTTTATCTAGGAGCTCGTCGATTCGGGGCATAGGGTAGGCATCTTATCATTAAGTTTCCGGTAGTCTACACAGAAGCGGGTGGTGCCGTCCCGCTTTGGCACTAGGACTACCGGAGACACCCAGCGGCTATCCGAGTGTTCTATCACTCCCAGTTGCAGCATCTCGTCAATCTCCTTCCGCATATGTTCCCTTACGGACTCTGGTATGCGGTAGGGGGTTTGGCCGAGGGGTTGTTGCCCTGGAGTTTCCACCCTGTGGGTGGCTAGCGGCGTATATCCTGGTAAATTGGAGAACGTATCTCCTTTTTCTTTGATTAACTCTAAAATCTGGGCCCGTTCTTGAGTGCTCAGCCGATCTCCCAGCTGTACCTCCCCTAATTCTGCGTCCTAGCCCCCTTTTTCTAGTAGGTCCGGCAGAGGTAAATTGACGGAATCGGCTGCGGCCGAGGCGCAGATGGCGTTTACTTCCTCTGCACGTTAGTGATACGGCTTTAACATATTTACATGGAGCATGTGCCTACCGCCTGTTCCAGTGCACGGGCCGATTACATAGGTGGTGTCACACACCTGTTCCACCACCTTGTATGGGCCATGCCAAGAGGCATGCAGTTTGTCATTCTGGACGGGTTTCAGGATTAGTACCTTTTGTCCCACTTGAAAACTGCGGTCTCTGGCCCCCCTATCGTACCATCGGCGCTGTCGTTGTTGGGCCGCCTGGAGATTGGAGCGTACCGTTTGGGTTAAAGTCTTCAAGCGTTCCCTGAACTCTAGCACATATGGAACAATAGGGGTACCGTTACTGGTGACTGCACCCTCCCAGTGCTCCCTAATGAGATCCAAAGGGCCCCGTACCCTCCTTCCGATTAGTAATTCAAACGGGGAGAACCCCGTGGATTCTTGAGGTACCTCCCTGTATGCGAAGAGCAGGTGGGGGAGGAACCGCTCCCAGTCCTTCTGAGAATCTATGAAAGTACGGAGCATCTGTTTCAGTGTTCCGTTAAAGCGTTCACAGAACCCATTGGACTGGGGTGGTAAGCTGAATTCACGATGGGTTTTACCCCACATACTCTCCACAACTAGTGGGTAACCTCTGCTGTGAATTGGGTACCCCGATCCGAGATAATCTCCTTGGGGAACCCCATTCAGGAGAATATTCGAATCAGGGCGTCCACAATGGTTTCGGCGTGTACATTAGTTAGAGCTACTGCCTCAGGGTATCTAGTAGCGTAATCTACTACCGTTAAGATGTACTTTTTACCAGAAGGGCTTGGTTTGGCTAGGGGTCCGATTATATCTACAGCCACCCTACTGAATGGCTCTTCTATTATGGGGAGGGAATGTAGTTTCGTCTTGTACCGGTCTCCTCTCTTCCCTACTCTTTGACAAGTATCACAAGTTTGGCCTTTTCTGCTAATCTGTACAGCAACCCTTTCTCCCAAGCATATCTCTCCCCCTCCTACCCAGCCTGATTCTGCGCTACCCTATCTCGGTACACTTGTAAAGATGGGTCGGTGGCTACCTCACTACCAAATTCTAAGGGTGGTGCTCAGGGGACAATAGGGGGTCCGTGACTGTTGCTTACCTGAGCCTCAGAGTGGTCGGAGGATGCGGTGGTGCGAGCCTGCTGCCTGGTAACAACTGGTAGCGCTTCCTGCGCTGGGTGTTGGAGAACAAAGTCAGCTCCCCCAAGTCATTGCCCAAGATAACATCGGCCGGTAAATCTTGCATGAGGCCCACTTCCACGTCCCCTGACCCCGCTCCCCAATCCAAATGTACCCTGGCAGTGGGAATCTTGTATATTGCTCCCCCTGCCACCCGTACTGCCACGTACTCCTCAGTGAGCTGGTTCTTTGGGACTAAGTGGTTATGAACCAAAGTTATGGTGGCCCCTGAGTTGCACAGACTCTGGAGGCGTTTTAGAAAAGATCTACAGAACAGAAAAAATAAAAACTCATAGAGTAGTAAAGCCAAAATACATCAAATCCCTGCTAGTTTGATTACACTCATAGGCATAAATTGATAGTAGGCATATCTCAATAATGGAGCACTGGATAGAAGGGAATCCTCAGTACGAACTCATGGACATGTAGGAGAGAAAATAGACTGCAAATAAGTGTAGATTATAAGTAATTTTAACCCTGCACTGTAATCAGTTACACTTACAAGTTAATAATGATATAAAAGCATATCATGAAGTATCCTCCACAGCCATCCTCCTTCAATTGATAGTGAATAAACGAAATAGGGGGAATACTGTGACTAAAAAGTATTTATTAACATAAAATAAAATAAATCAATGAACAAACTGTTATAAGTAAGCGGACTAAAAAATTCTCTCTACAAACATCCAACCCTACGCGTTTCGTCCTCTATATACCGGACTTCCTCAGGGGTATCAGGATCTCCCGTGCAGCATCAACCTTTCTTTTCGGCGTGGTTAAATAACCCGATCAAACTCCCGCCAAAAACCGCCTCCAATCAGCGCTTCCTTGTTCCGGTTGTCTTCACAGCGTTCCAAGCCTCATTTTCATATCACATTCTTATGCGCATGTGCGCAATCGGCAATTTCAAAGAGGTTCACGATCGATCCAAAAGTTCATAAAAAGTCCTCCCTTCCTCCATAAATCATCACATCAAAGCTCATTTTGTGATGATTTATGGAGGAAGGGAGGACTTTTTATGAACTTTTGGATCGAATTTATAAAAAACATTTAAATTTAATGTTCTCATGAACTTTTTCACATCTAAAAAGTTCAGAAAAGGATCTGATTTTGTAGCTGGAGCATATTATAACCCCGTATTGAGGACTGTAAGCTGATCTGGAGTTAGAACAATATCCGTTAGATTAAAAATTCCTAATGGTTCTACCGTTTGGTTCTTTTTTTTCCTCTGGACTCCTTGGGTGCTTTGTCACTGAATGGGTATCTTTGGAGTAGATTATCGATTTTGGTGTCGCTCATGACTGCCGGATTGTTGAGTGGTGTGGGAGGGATCTGTCCATCGCTTTTTCATGGGTGTCCTTAACTTCTGGCGTTGTCGTAGCGGTGGAGCATTACTGTTTGGGTCATTAGAATACCAGTCTGTAATATGGACTTTGTTAAGCTCCAATGCCCTTATGAAGGGTTGGACATCCTAAGGCGTTGCTATAGTGTGAGTGGAGCCTTTGTGCGCCACTATTAAGGCAAAGGGGAAGCCCCAGCAATATTTTATGTTGCGGGCCCTCAGTTGGTCTGTAACTGGCTTTAGGGACCTCTGTGCATGTAAGGTCAGCCACGATAGGCCTGGGTGGATCTGGATCTCATGGCCGTGGAACAACAGTGGAGTAGTTGTGGAGCGCATCGCACGTATAACCTCCTCTCTATCCGCAAAGTATTGCATTCTGCAAATAATGTCCCGATGTGCTTTTGCTGTGTTTCTAGGTTTAAGTGAGTGGTGAACTATATCAAACAGTAACAGCGTGTCTACGGCATTGCCCAAAATCAAATGAAATAGCTCTAATAGCATACTTCCACTGCAGTTTCGGGTAGGCCCCGGAACCTAAGGTTGTTTCGCAGCCCCTATTATCCACATCATCCATGGAACGTTGTAGGTTTGTAAGATATGCAGCTTGGGATTCTACCCTAGAGGTAAGTGTTAGTACTTGCGTTTGGATCGTGTCTCTGTCCTTCTCCAGGTCTTGGACCCAATGACCCACATGGTGTATTTCAGATTCTAGGCCCTCCAGCCTAGTTTGGAATGTAGCTTCTTCCCAGCATGTCTGCCAGGTCTTTTCGGGAGGGGAAAGTTTTCAGTATCTCCCTAATGTCGGGCTCTATACAGCCTGACTAGGTGGCGTGGTTTCAGGCTGCAAGACCGTTGGAGCTTTCAGGTATGCACTCCATATAATCTTTAAATAACTTTGTGAGGGAGCCAGATTTCCCCACGGGAGTCTTCCCCGAGGTGGAGAGGCCACTTTGGGAGTGTTTAGGGTTACCCATAGTAGTGTGGTACCTCTATATTGTTGATTTACCGCCTGATTTGCCCGGAGCCATTTTAGCACGCGTCCATGCCAGTCAGCAATTGGCCATGCCCCCTCAAATAAATACTTTATGATATGTTTCCTTTTTATTACATGTAAATCATACATATACAAAATACACTATATCTATCTATCTATATATATATATATATACATATATATATATATATATATATATATATATATATATTTCTTACAAAGCTCTAAATAAAAAATAAATGTTTTATAAACAACAGTTGCTCTACTTGTTACTTAGAATCTATTGGCTACAATTTTTATCTATTTCAAGTATTTCTTTGCTGGATTGGAGCTCTGAGACAATTCCAGATTAACAGTTTGAAAGATAACCATGCCTTGAAATATTTAAAGGAATACTCAGGACCTCAGCCAATCCAATGCTTCCCTGTAGGGAAACATTGGAAGGCTAGTGCTCACATGCAGAAATTAGTGCGCCGCATCAATCCGCATCTCCTCATGATGTGAAGACGCCAAACATTGGTCCAGCAAATATTGCATTACTGTCTCAGGAAGGGCCTCTATTGCCTGTCTAAGTGGCTACCTTGTCTCAGAAAAGGCAGTGTTTGCATTGCTAAAACTGCAGGGACAGTCTCTTTGCAGCAGAACCACTACATTAAACTGTAGTGGTTCTGGTAGAATGTTACTGCTACAGTAGATCTTGTGTATTGTATTGGCATCTTAAATGTATTGGATTAGCTGTATCAGTATTGCTTCTCAGTGTATTGGATTAGCTGTATCAGTATTGCTTCAGACCTGAGGAAGAGAGAAAAACTCTCAAAAGCTTGTCTTTGAAATATTATGTTAGTCTAATAAAAAATAAATAAAAAAAAGTATCATTGCATTTTGGCATCTTATATATATATATATTTTTTCCCAGCCAATATCAGGGCCGTCTTTAATATTGATTGAACCCTGAGCAAGCATTTGCTTGGGGCCCCTGACCCCCACCCCACTCCCTGGCATTCAGTCACGCCCTCCACCCAGTGTTGTATTTTGGATTTGTGCTGCCCTAGGCACGACTAAATTCGGGCACCCCCAAAATCTAAATTTACCTCCCCAATTTGTGTCAAGGCCACTTTTTTGACTGACAGACACATGCCCTCATTGATACATGCACTGATATACACTCACTGACAGATACACAGTCATTGGCACACACATACAGTCATTGGCACACACTCTTTAACCAACACACACCTTCACTGACAGACAAACACAGACAGGCACACACTCTCAGATACACATAAAATGACATACACACACTGACACAAACACACACAGGCACACCCATTCTCACTGAAAAACACACACTTTCACTCACTCACAGACACACAGTGACAGCTACACTCACTCACTCACAGTAAGGTGGGCAGCCCCAGAACATGAGGCAAACAAGGCATTTGTCTAGGAGCTTAGGGTGGCATTTTTTGCCCGCCCCCCCCCACCACCACCCATGAAAGTGGCGCCCTAGGCAAATGCCTTGTTTGTCTTGTGGTAAATACATCCCTGCCTCCACCGCAATGTAGTGGCGGAACTAAACTAGAAAAGGTACTGGTGGAATTTTTATTTTGGGCCCGCTATCGCAAGGGTGGCCATACGGTAGATCCCCATCTGTCATACAATTCCAACAATGCTTTGACAGCGGGGGATCTATCATTGTCCCATGCTTGCAGTGTTTCTGTGTTTAAGTGTAAGCATGTTTTGTATGGAGTATGTTTATGTGAATGGGTTCTTTTGTGGTGCTGGCATTTGAATGCAAGCATGTATTTATGTGTATGCAGGAGTGTGTCTATATAGAATTTTGGTGTTTTTAACACAGAGGTGTGTTTGTATGTAGTGTTAATGTTTCAATGCAGGAGTGTGTTTGAATACTGAGATGTATGCACATATACACATACATTGTGATACACATGCATATATACAGAGACTGATACAGATACACAACCTGAAACACACATATACAAGCAATAACACACACTGACTACATATAGATACACAGATACACAAACTGACACATGCAGATACACAGGCACACAGATACACAAACTGACTACATATAGATACACAGATACACACAATGAGAACATACAGAAACACACTGACACACATACAGAAACACAGAGAGACAGATACAAACAATGATACACAGATACACACACTGACACGTGCAAATACACATATACACACTGATCGCATATACACAATGAGAACATACAGATACACAGACTGACACACATGCCAATACAAAGACACACACACTGACTACAAAAAGATACACTGATACACACAATGAGAACATACAGATACACACACTGACACACATACAGATATACAGACACACATACCATCACTGACACACATGCAGATATACAGACAAACAGATACACACACTGACACATACAGATACACACACTGACACATACAGATACACACTGACCGCATATAGATACTCACATACATACAATGAGAACATACAATTCATTAAGATACACAGGCAGATACAAAGATAAAGTCACTGACTGTGACAGATCCATCTGTCTAAGTACTATCTGCTGGTTCGTCTGTTTTGTTATACATTCATGGAATTACCTGCCCGTACATCCCTGTTCGTTTATTTCAGTTTATACCGAATAAAACTACCGAACGGACGGCCACCCAGAAGAGAAGTGTGCCGCTGGTTAACCTATCGGCCTCAATTAGAATGTTGTGGTTAACCGCAGACACCTCTTAATTGAAACTGTATGCAGGGTGGTCGTCGTTCGTATGTCGACCACGAGGCAGAGGGCATTTTAAACACACGAATGAACAGGACCTTTTATTGTACGAATGGACTTAACCCAGATAACCATCCCATGGAGTCATTCGTATACCGAAAGAACAGTGTGAAAGACTTTGACTCCATGGCGATTGAACTGTGTGCATTGGGTCTGAGCGCTATTCGGTAGTAATGTGAGCTCAGTTCTGGGCTATCTGGGGATACGTTATGCGAATTAAATGCATTCGGTAGTTTTACATTTATGGATTTTTATGTGTTTTTATTATACCATGTAAAATGGCGGTTTGCCTCTATCCATGGAGATAATTGGATTTCTTCCCAATTATCTCCAGGATAGAGAGGAGGGGTTTACTTGTACAAAGGGGAGTGTTTATACCTGAGCCACTGTGATTGGCTACTGTACTTCAATTGTCCCAGTCTTCCATCTGGTCCCCTAGGGGAGTGTCCACCAGGTGGGAGACCTGCATAAATACCGGGCAGGTAGCCCTCAAGACAGAGCTTGGTCTCGTGTTTGGGGGGATTGCTCCTTGGGAGTATTATTTTGCCTGTTCTAGGAGAGGAGGAGTAAGGATGATTCTCCATTTGGGAGTTTGGAGCATTCCCTTATATTCCATTCAGGAGTTTGGTGGTCTACAGCAACAGTGCAGGTGTCTCTAAAGGGGGGAGATCTACTAAACGGCGGTTTCACTCATTTATGCCGGGAGTGTCTTAACACTGACTATATATAGATACACACAAATACACTACCTGACACACATGCAGATACACACTGACCGCATATAGATGCACACACAGATACACAACCTGACACATATGCAGATACAAAGGTACACACACGGACTACATATAGATACACTGACTCACATAC